AGCTTCTGGTGTTTACGTGTATGTGTGTGCTATAGAGGAGATTTGGGTTGTCTGCTGTATATCGGTGGGCTGCCGATGGATTAAGGCCAAAACATGAGAAGAGCAGTATGAAGACACAGAATCAAAGAGGAGACACGATGAACTCTTACAGTTGTCAGCATGTGTTACATACAGAGTTCACATCAGTAATAGTTAAAATTTTTCACAGTTTTATTTTTTGGCTAAAATTACAGCTTGATGGAAATGACTTACAGATTACATAAGCATTTCAATTCCATATGATCGTTTCCAAAATGATGTGGTATTCAAATAATCAAAACTGAATGATATTGATCCAATTCGTTTTTTTTTTCTGAGAAAAAAAACAAAGGTGATTTTCATGCGCATTTTGTCAGTAAAGCAGATTCTATAAACCTCCAGCAGATGATTTCACATGGAGCAGCATTTACTACTAAAAAAAGCTGTAGTTCACTCATAAACTATGCAAAAATTAGTTTTACCATCCAAATCAATGGAATCGGACGATAATGATAATCATTCTTTGAAAATTACAGCTGTTTACAGAGTGAAGCTTCTCAATGAAACCGTACAAGGTGAGCTATTGAGCAAACTGACCACGCTGGAAAAGTTGTCCATATGGAAAAGTTGTCCATATGGAAATAGATAGATAAGGCAAATGTATTCAATTATAAATAATAGACACTGTCAGCTTGCTTTGTGGTACTTATTTTGTGTTTTATCATTTGTAACAGGGCTGCACGGTATTGGAAAAAAAATGAGCATTACAATATTTTTTTTTTCTGTGATTCATATTGCGATATGAATATAATTTCACAAGATACCTTAAGTAACTATTTGTGAAGAATTCTTAATTTTCCTTTGCTTGGGACTTTGTAGGTAATTTCATCTGCATAAAACACATATTATAACTAATTAAAGCACAGCTAAAAACAATAGCACAATAATAGAAATTAAATAAACAGCACTTTAGGGTTTTTGGTGGTGTATTGAGGTAACAGAAGTTCAATCATCAAATGTCAAATAACTCTGCTTGGAGTCTTCATTGTACAAACACACACATTCACTCTTTGTTCAAGTGACAGACTTTGGCCCAATCCCTATTCTATTTTTGTACCCCTACTTATTCCCCTTGGCGCTTCAAACAGAGTGATTTACTACTAAGAAATGGGACAGCACTACAGTACCTGCACAAGTCATCATATGTCATCACAATCTCTTACTGCAAATAAGATCCAGGATTGTGATTGGTGTAGTTATTCCAGTTGCTTTATTTTTTAGTTTTTATCTTCAGGAAATCACTGAAGGGATATATCACGTTATCATGACAATATAATGTGGCAAAAAGCTCATAACTGTACTGTTCATGTACAGTTACGAGCCCTAATTTATAATCTTTTATTTGTTGATAATATTTCCCCATAAATATCATTAGTGTGAAAAGGAACAAGAGGTTTGTTGGGGTCATACTGCCCCATACATTTCATTCTACCCAGAAAGTGCAGTAAAATGTATTTGAAGTCCGTTTTTACAAAAACGTAGGCTAATGTGCCTCACATGCTGCTGCAAACTAAAGTGCCCAAGTGCCCCTTTCCACTACAGAAAGTGTATATGTAAGTGTCAGAACTAAACTTTGTAGTAAGTGTAAGAAGATTTCTTGGACCAGGAAGCGCCATTTTTGTTTACAATATGTGGACAGGAGTGAATGCGTTTGCTGTTTCCCAGTAGAAGTGATGGCACCAGGATGCAATGAAGTCAGTAGAGAGATGTGTGATGATGGTCAGAAAAACTTTCGAGTCCAGTGTACAAATTATTAATGGTGGGGGGAACAATCGTTCCAGCATAGTATCACAATATTCCCACAGCAATACTATCATTACACAGGCGCCCATATGGATAGATGTCCAATATATTAATATACTAGTTAGTTAAATAAATTCAGGACTTAGTATATTTCAAATGAAATCGAAAAAAGGACTAAAATGTAATTTCCAACAAAATCTGGCCAAATTAAAAGTTTGAAACAGCCCACTGAATTCATTTTACTCCAATAGCAGCTCAAAGGTGTTTAGGTCCGTGATGATTACACAGTCAGAGGGTGTGTTCTGGAGCTCTGCCTTCTTAGACTTGTGTCGTTTCCACTAAGTTCAGAATCTGACAGAAAAATATCCAGCATGACAACACCAAGAAAGCAACGTAAATACACTGGAGGGGCGAGTAGCAGAGCTGGTACACGTGTCCGCACTATTACTATCACATGCATAAGGAATCGAAGGGTTTCACACACCAGTCGAAAAGCACAACCGCATCGTGCCACATCTAATAAAGTTCTAAACATAGTTTTTATTCAGTGTATAAATATAATATACATATAAAATATAAAGCAACGTGATGTGCTGTGGTGCTGCTTCTCACGGAGAACGATGTATGTCAGATGTTAAAATAAATTGGTGGCTTCACGAAAAGGTTTATGAAGGATTTTCATTAACGTTGATCAATTTTTCTGTTTGATATTCCCATTTTGCCACAGCTTTCCTTTGGGGATGTAATCTTAAGTTAAAAATGTAGCAATATATTTACAATGTCGTAATACTATATCGACTCTAGCCCCTTTCACACAGTGATACCGGTAAATATCTGGAAAATTTCCGGAATGACTTTACCGGTATATTCAAAAAAGCGCTGTTCACACAGGCGAGGACGTTACGGAAATTTTCCGGAAAAGAGCATTCACACATCCATTCCAAAATACCGGTAAATTCTGACATCATTCACCACAAATGAGCTTTAAACGGCTGCGCTTGTATTTGTAAACATTTGACTAAATTACAAACTCTGTGGATGATCAATATTGTGAACAACTTTCGCAGGATCACTTTCGCATGTCGGGATGTTCATAATATGTGCGTGTGCTGGTGCTCACAGGCTGTTTCACAGGCACACGCAAAGCTTGAAGGTAAACAAACAACGGCTTATCATAAGCATCTCATCGATGATTATTTACACAGTTGGCATTAAGAAGAACATTAAAACATGATCTGACTAACATATAGCAGCTAAATGTGTCTGGTAAAATATTCAAAGGCTTTTATTCTCACAAACCGCGCGGACGTAAATGCGTCTGACTGTTGTGATTGGCTAAAGCAGACGTCTCATGTCAGCACGTTCTATACGTGCACGCGCTTATTATGGCAATCTTCCTTCTGCATTCACACAGCGCAGCATTCCGGCAAATTGCCGGTAATGTTACAACTTCTCTTTCCGGAAAATAGCCAGAACGAATTTACCGGTATTTTCAAAAAGGACCTGTTCACACATACAACCTTTCCGGAAAATTGGCGGCAATTTTCCGGAAAGGTCTGTATGTGTGAAAGGGGCTAATATTCCCACCTCTACATATTAGACTCATTGGTGCACATTTTTTACACATTAAATAAAATTTACTAAGAGTTCAACTGTTTGTGGCAAAATTGTTTGGTGTGGTGGAAAACTGACAAACCACAAATGTGGGCGAGTTCTGGGATTTCATACTTTTCAATTTGCAATGAATTAATAATTTGCTAATGTATGGGTATATGAAGAAGGTGATGCCATAATGTGTGCTTTTACAGCGAATGATTTGTCAGTGAATCAGTATGTTTTATAGGTTATTTTATGCCAATAAGGAAATGACGAGGTGAAGAGATTGGGAAAGGCTCAGGAAATGACTTCACATGCCACATCTTTCACCTATATGTCATGAACGCACAGACTATGGGTTACAGCTCTGACGAGTGAATCGGTTTTTACATCTGATCTCTTGAGTCGTTAATCTCATCCCTATAATCCTCTCTTTCTCAATCAATCTCTCTCATTCTTTGTCTTTCATCCCTCACTCTCTTCTCCCACCCGCCCTCTCTCAGTGGTGCTGTTTTCCTTTGATTGAATGATATGATATCCAAGATTCAGTCCCTGCTCTGTAAACTAGTTTATGATCCAAATTACGTTTTTCTGAGCAAGTTTAACCTACACTGAAAAATAATGATTCATTGGATTTGCTAAATTCTTTTAAGGTACGTGGACTGAATTTAAGCAAACAAATTAAATCGAGTATGTTCTACTTAATTTATTTTTTTAAATACAGCCCTTATAAATGGTTTGCAACAACATACCTTAAAACATTTTGTGAATCCAGTGAATCTTTTTTTCAGCATAAGACAATATATTGTTAATGGATTCTGACACATGCCAGAAGACGCTTTTATTTTGCTCTTCATCATTTATCAGGTTTCAGGGGGATGAAGTACAATTCAAATGCATTTAACAAAAACTAAATGACAGTCAGGGTAACGCGGTTGCGCAGTAGGTAGTGCTGTCGCCTAACAGCAAGAAGGTCACTGGTTCGAGCCTCGGATGGGTCAGTTGGCGCTCCTCTGTGGAGTTTGCCTGTTCTCCCTGTGTTTGTGTGGGTTTCCTCCGGATGCTCCGGTTTCCCCCACAAGACATGCCTTACAGGTGAATTGGGTAGGCTAAAATGTCCATGGTGTATGTGTGGTAATGAGAGTGTGTGGGTGGTTCCCAGTGATGGGTTGCAGCTGGAACATATGCTGGATAAGTTGGCGGTTCATTCCGCTCTGACGACCACAGCTCAATAAAGGACTAAGCCGAAAAGAAAATGAATGAATGAATAAATGACAATCATCTGATTTAAATGGTGTAGTGCCTCGACACATGGCACTCACAGTGCTCACAGTGACCATTCCTGTCAACATTTATTTTGATGGTCCATTTGAGTATTAGTAGACTGTCTGCTTAATATCTGTTGATACTGCTTCTTCAACAGACATTTAACTGACTATAAGACACTTTGTAAGTGCATGTCAACTTACCCAACAGTCTACTTATAATCTAATGAGAATTAGTTGGCATGTACATGCAATTTAACTTAAATTCAACAAACGGACCCTCAAAATAAAGTGTTACCTATTATTATTATTATTTTTTTTATTTATTTTTTTATTATGTGTGTATGTCTGTTTAAACACGCACTCAAAACCCAGAGTGTCCACTTTCGCTCCACTTCAAATTGCGTGAACAGAATCTAAAAACAGTGTCTATTTATCACTATGGTGCGTGACTAACAGTCAACTCTACATGAACTGACTGTTTTAAGGATTGCATAGAAAGGGCAACGACACCTGTAATGGAAAGGAAGGGAATCCCGCCATTTTATATTTATTTTAAAGTGCTTTCATGCCTAAATAAAATAAAAGCACAGAACAGATTCACAGTTAAGAGCAAGAAGCGTTCGGCAGTGGGTTGCGTTTAGGGAGGATCAGCTCTTTAATGTTTATTGCCACCCTTCATAGAAAGATTGAAATACGGGAGACATATGGGAAAATAACTTTACGGGATGATAGCGGAATGTAAAATTGTAAAATACAGGAGAATCGTGTGAAAACGGGACGGTTGACAGGTATGTTCAATTCCCACCTCAAGGTCCCATGCTGATCCTTCCCTTCTCTCTGCTCCCCACATTGTCCTGTCTAGACTTTCCTACTGTCCTATTATTTAAAGGTGAAAACTCTGAGAAAATAATGATAAAAAAAGCATTATTAGGATTTTTAAAAATGTTTTATCTACAATGTAGATGTTGCCAGGGTTAATGAAGTTCTGAAATTAGTGTGTTTGTCAAAACGTGTCTTCATGCCTGTTTTTTTTTTTTTGCCTCTCCAGCTTAGTAGTTGAAGAGTGAGAAGTCAAATACTGTTTGGGGATTTACTGAAAAGCTGTGCTAGTTTTGCATGCAGTGCATTCATTATTTTAGCAAACACAAGCTGAATGAGGTGTGGTGCATTGTAGATAATACCTAACACACTTGCACCTTTTCCACCAGCACAGCCCATAATCCCCTGAAAGCAGAGAGTATGTAGGAAAATGAATATTATGATTACTGTTGTGTGAAAGGGTTTAAGAATGAATGAATGGTGTACTGGAAAGTGTGTGCGCATGGGCCTGTAAATAAATAAATTTTGTGTTTCATTACAGATTTTGGAAAATAAAGCTGCAGTGAACTCCAGTGATGTGGTGTCTAACAGCAGGGTAAGTTCTTGTTCAAACAAACATTAATATTCTTTCTTCTGACCATGCACATTTTAGCTGTCAATTAGTAATGTAAATCAATAGCCTACAATTGTCTGACCACAACCACAAATCCATTGTTTAAATGAATGAACAAAGCGAAAAACAAAACTGAAAGCACATTTATGCTGAATGCACACATGGTCTGTACTAATGAGAGTGAGGAAAGACCGGATGGGCTGTGTGGAAAGACCTTTTATGGAGATGGGTTTGGGCATGACCTTGCTCACATGGGCACGTATTTAAATACTTCAAATTGATAAACACTCAAAAGTGCTTAAGGACAAATGTGTCTATATAAACATGTTGTGAATTAGGTGAAATAAAAAAAGAATATGAATTATTTACAGTTTTTAGTGAATGAGACAATATTTATAGAATGTCTTGTTCCAGAATTGCAGGTACATTCCAAGCATTTTCCTTGAACTTTAATGATATTCAATAAATATTGTATAACAAAACAGAGTTGAGAATAACAGAGTTGATATTTTACAACCTTTTGTGCTTTAGCTCAGGATGATAACTCTTTTTAGCCCTTTTTTATTTTTATTATCATTATTTTATTAATTTATTACTATTATTATTTTTATTTATTTTTGCATACAGTTTTTTTCCCCAATTTCTGTTTAACAGAGAGCAGATTTTTTTCAACACATTTCTAAACATAACAGTTTTAATAACGCATTTCTAATAACTGATTTATTTAATCTTTGCCCTGATGACAGTACATAGTATTTTACTAGTTATTAAGTATAAAGACACTTCTATACGGCTTAAAGTGACATTTAAAGGCTTAACTAGGTTAATTTAGTTAACTAGGCAGGTTAGGGTAATTAGACAAGTTATTGTGTAATGATAGTTTTTTCTGTAGACTGTTGAAAAATATATTGCTTAAAAGCGCTAATAACTTTGACCTTAAAATGTTTTTTTAAAAATTAAAAAACTGCTTTTATTCTTGCCAAAATAAGACAAATAAGACTTTTTTATTATCAGACATACTGTGAAAATTTCCTTGCTCTGTTAAACATAATTTAGGAAACATTTAAAAAAAGAAAAAAAAATATAGGGGGTTTAATAATTCTGGCTTCATCTGTATGTATCGCATTTTTCTTGATGTTTTGAAGCAATAAATGAAAAAGAAAAAAGGCACTAACTTCAAACTAGGTGCCAAATGGCATGACTAAAACAGAATTTTATGTATTTTCAACTTTTAGAAAAAAAATCAAAGTTGAAAATTGTATAATCTACTATTTGTTTATCTCAAAACATTTTGTACAAATTACTGAGAGAAGAATAATGAAATGCATAAATAGGAAGAGGAAGTGACATTAATTGAAGTAACATGCTTTTTTTTTTTACCTGTGCTTTACAGATGCCTTAATGCCTTTCTAAAACCAATGCAAAATTAGTTGAGCAGAATATGTGGACAGATACAAAATGTATTTTTTTTAATTACTGAAATGATGAGTAATTATAAATATTGTTTAAAAATGATAAATAATTCAGAAAATAATGCAGATGTTTTCAGCAAATGTTTATTTAGCTTAGTTGAGTAAACACACAAAAAGCTGATTATTTCATAATAACTGAAGCTGAATGTAAAGTTCAGGAGGCAGAGATAGCGGGAGTCTTTAAGTGAATATTTTTCATGAGAATATGTCCTTAAATACGCATACAAACATTGTTTTTAGAGGTAACTTTATATATTGTGTGTTATTCAAAACTTTTATTTCATTAAAGTTTTTTTAGTTTATGAAAAATAGTCGACGCAGTAGCGCAGTAGGTAGTGCTGTCGCCTAACAGCAAGAAGGTCACTGGTTCTAGCCTCGGCTGGGTTGGTTGGCGATTCTGTGTGTGAGTTTGCATGGGTTTCCTCCGGGTTCCCACACAATCCAAAGACATGCGGTACAGGTGATCTGGGTAGGCTAAATTGTCCGTAATGAATGAGTGTGTATGGATGTTTCCCAGAGATGGGTTGTGCCTGGAAGGGCATCCACTGCGTAAAACATGCGCTGGATAAGTTGGCGTTTTATTACCTCGTGGCGATCCTAGATTAGTGAAGGGACTAAGTCGAAAAGAAAATTAATGAATGAAAAATAAAAGAAGGTTTATCAAGGAGATGTAAAATGTACCCGCAATTACATCATAATTACATATGTATAGAGATGTATCATTTAGTCAGTGTTTGGCAGTAAGTGTTCAACATTTTATTCCAAAAAGGCTACTTACAGTAGAAAATTGTTTTTTTATTATTATTATTTAATGAATCTCTTATGAATCTTTTTTTGGAGCACCAGACATAATTGTTTTGGGCATTTCTACAAAACATCAAATATATCTTCAAATATACTTTAAACTTAAGGTGCTATATACTGCATTGGTTTAATATGTTTAATTGTTTTCTGAAATCTAAATAGTAGGCATATGGCTTGGGTAAATAAAAATAAAATCTCCAGAAACGGTTTTATATGCTCGTTTGTTACTCCATAAAACACCCCTAGAATCCGATGGTCCATAATTGACCTTATTTGGATCGTGTTGTGAATATTAATGAGCTCTGCTTTGATGTGCAGGAGACAAACATATCATAATGTATCCATAGTACAAAATCTGAGCCTCTCGTTTTCAAAGTAAAAGTCCCACATACATAGTATATTAAATATAAGCTTAAAAATAGCTAAAGGAGGAAAATGATCATTGTTGTCTCACTAGAAAACCTTGTGGCTTATCAAGTGCATAATAATGATCTAAGAGCTACATGTAAGTCTTATATGCAAATGATGAGGGTATGGGTTGCGCAACAGTCTGCTTTGTGTTCTGATTGCTCACATTTTATCGACCAGGGATTCACACTTATGGAATTTACATGAGAACGAGAAAACAATGCTGTTAGAGGCTCACAGTATGGCTATTTCCATATACTGATCTCTTATTATTCAATAAGTCTAGATTTACCCATATTTTCTTTAAACATTTATCAACCAATCAGAATCAAGCATTCCACAGCTCTGTAACCTGTTCTCCAGGATTCGCTAACAATCACAGCAGCTCCTTTTTTGAATAGATGAGAGATCTTCTGTTCAAATAACTCATTGCATTCTTAAATAACCATGCCAAGTCAAAGCCAAAACATAACTTTCACAGCAGCTTACAAATAATCTAAGCTCAACACATCACATAATGTTTGAAATAATTCAATAACGTCTATACGACTCAGCGCTTCTTACCTGACCAAACACAGATGCCACGATGGGCCTGAGCTTCCTGCGCTCTGTCTCCACTCTTAGGGGCTCGGGCTCCGGGTCAGTGGGCGAGTTTAGACTGAGCATTTTGGTTTTGGGTGGCCGTTTGAAGCTGCCGCCGCTAGAAGAGGTGCTCCATCTCCTCAGCTTCTCGATCTTCTTCCTAAATGACCCCTACATTTACAGAGCATTTTAGTATCACATCTGTCAAATATACATAAATGGAGAATATAGTTGTCACAAAAGGGAAACAATTCAAAAGTTTTTTATTTAGTTTTTTTTATAAATCTAATCAAAGGTTAGATTTAAAAATAGTTAAATTTACTATTTTTGATATAATCCTGAAAAAATGCATAGTTCAGTTCATTAACTGCCATGGTAACTTTAAAAAAATTGCTGTAAATTTTACAATTTTGGTTGCCGGTAATACTGTAAAATGTACAAGTGAGCTATAGTAGTAGTTGTTTTATACTGTAGTTTTATAGCACAATTTTGATAATTAATTTACAGTGCACTTGTAAATTTTACAGTATTTCTGGCCATTTTTACAGTATTACTAGAAAAATTTACAAGCACCCTGTAATAATTACAACCAACCCAGGCTCATTCTGAAAACGTAGTCCCGTAAACGTTTCTGGAGACCACAAAATACGTCCCTGGAGGTATGTATTTTTGTAGTTTTTGTGTTTGCGAATTCACGAGAGGCCGCTGTGTGCGCTTTTTCATATCACAAATGTCTCTTGCGAGTGCCGTTCGCGCCCGCGCTGTTCTCGCGTAAACCCATCGGAGGCCGTTGTCGAACAACCGTCTGTCTGACTGACTGAATGATTGACTGGGCGTGTGGCCAATCAGCTAACCCACCCTCCTCCTTCCCTAAACCCAAACATTTTTACCAATTAACCCGCCCACTCGCTTTCTTCCCTAAACCCAACCAAGGATTTTCAAAAGCCATCCAAAAAAAGAAACGCCCTCGTCTGATTTTTACCATGTTTTCGGACTTTACTACATTCTCACATTGTTACTTGTTCACTGTATTTTTTTGATTCTGTTTTTGTATTACCTGATTTCTGGAACCGCTCTCTCCCGGACTCAAACCAGGTCATCTTCATGGTCAGCTTCTCTCTGCGTCTCAAGTCCGCTGACGTACACGATGAGCTAACTGGACAAACTGGTTGCAGCGGGGAAGCCCTCTACACAGAGGTAAGCGGTCAGCCGGTAAGCGCAAAAAGGAATGGCGTTATACCGCCCCGTACCGTTTGTTTAAAAAATTAAATGCAGCCATTTGTCTTCAGAAACGTCCACAGGACTTTGTTTTTTATAGAAAGAGCCTGGGTTGATTACAACTATGCTGTAGTTTTATAACACAATTAAATTTGTTAATTTAAATTGCCCTTATAAATTTTACAGCATTACTGCCACCAAAAAATGGCCAGGAATTCTGTTTTTAAACATACAATTTTGGACATAACCAACATTTGGGTTAAAATGTCATTTATATTTGTCTGTGCCAATAGCCCTAGTGCTTACTGTTCCTAGCTCCAGGTCCTTTGCCGACCTTTCCCTCTCTGCTCCCAACTGTTTTCTGTCAATTCTCTGAACCATTCTATCCATTAAAGGTTAAAACCTCCTAAAAATAATGATTTAAAAAAGTAATTTATATTTAATTAACCAAAAATGAACACAACCTTTGCTATGTCTATATTTGAAACAGCTCAGCATTTTTAGAGTACAGTAACTAAAGACTGGTGAGAATTGTAACAAGAGAAAGATACATGAAAACCACGTCTATGAAAAGTCTATAAAAACCAAACCAAAACAGACTAAACTGTACATAACAGTGACTGCATGAACATTTTTCAAAACATTTCATTTTGTGTTTCACAAAACATGACTGTTCAAACACTCTTCAAATGATTGTAAATCAAAAGTAAACGAGTTTTTAACATTACAATGTGATATTTCGAACCTTTACATTTTAGATGATCAAATAGTTGTATCACAGCCAAATACACCTCCTATCATATTAATAGAAATATTTATTCAGCTTACAGGTGATCCATAAACCTCAATAAAAACATTGACCCGTATGTTTGTGATCCAGTGTCACAAATGAAGGATCATGTGACATTGATGACTGAAATCATAATGCTTGCAATTCAGCATTGAATCAACAATAATCACATTTTAAAATAAATTAAAATAAAACAATCTTATATGAAATGAAATGAAACGTTTTTGCTGTATTTGTTGGAAGTTCTTTTTATTACAAGGAATAATATAATAGAAAATAGTTGTAGTAGTAAAATGATTGTTGAATATATATATGAATTACAATTTCTGGTTATCAATATAATATAAATATAAAATATTCATCTTTAGTGGGTTTATATTGAGAAGCTACCCTACTGTACACTCAAAAAATAAATAAATAAATAAAAATCTGCATTGTATTCACCCAATATTGTATACACCCAACCATTGGGTTAATTTGTCAATCACACTTTTTCAACCCAATTGTTGAGTGTGTCTATATTTGTCACAACACTGGACTAAAACAACCCAGCATTATTTTCTGACATACTGCATTCCCAGTCAATCCCGCATTGTCCAGTGACCCAGCTCACGTACCTTTTTGACAATGTTGCCTTCAGGAACCTCAATGGTTTCCATGCTGCCTGCTTCCATTGACATTGTTCTCGATGATTACTGATGAGCATCAATGCTTTCCTATAACTCTGTGTTTCCGTATCGCACTAAATCTCTTTAGATTCTGTTGCAGAATTACATTCACTGTTTCCATCGCTGGACGTCCGTCGCTCCTCCTCCTCTCTCTCTCACTCTCTCTCTCATTCATTCAGCCTCAATCTGTTTTGTCCATCTCTCACTCATTCATGTGTAGATTTATGTTTTTTCCCCCTTGCTTTTTGCTGTGTTTATGCTTTGTGAAAGATTAACATGATGAATATTAATGTATTGCAAGACTGTGATTTCTATAAAAAGTATGCATTTGTAAGAAACAACATTTGAAAACATCATCAAGGGAACATTTTTACTTTGATCCTAATAGTCCTTTTTTAATAATTTTACTGTCAAGAAGAATGAATAATTGACATTGAGGGTCATTTTATATCTCAGTCTTGCCTTTTGTGTTGTGACACAATTTTGAAGGCAAATAAAATGTCATTGTATTGTTTTGTTTATATATTTATTTCTTTATTCTCGCTGGAATTCTGTCTGACTGATGTACCGGCCGTGTGTGATTAGACTGTAGATAAGGAGAAATGTTTCATCTCTCATTCTTTTTCCTGATTTACATCTGATTTAATCCTTTATCCTGTCTCCTGCTCTCCGCAAAATCCTCTTACACGTTCATGTTCTTGTCTATAATTTTTCATCCTCTATTTCCACCCAACACCATTTATTTACATCACCGCATTTATATGGGTCATTCAAAATTAAGTCATTGACCTATTGAAAATGTCGTTTTCTTTCTAATATAGACTTCCTATTCTTTTAAAGTAAAAATAATTATGCAAATTAATATTTTGTTAATATTATATTTTGTGCTGTTATAAATAATAACATTATACATTGTTGTTATTATAAAAAAAATCAATGTATAAATATACACAATACACACTTACCAACACTTTAATAGGTACACTTGTCCAACTGCGCGTTAATGCAAATTTCTAATCTGTCAATCACATTGCAGCAACTCAATGCATATAGGCATGTAGACATGGTCAAGACGACCTGCTGCAGTTCAAACTGTGCATCAAAAAGGGGAAGAAAGGTGATTTAAGTGATTTTGAATGTTGCATGGTTACTGGTGCCAGACGGGCTGGTCTGAATATTTTAGAAACTGCTGATCTACTGGGATTTTCACATACAACCATCTCTAGGGTTTACAGAGAATGGTCTGAAAAAGAGAAAATATCCAGTGAGCGGCTGTTCTGTGAGCGCAAATGCCTTGTTGATGCCAGAGGAGGTCAGAGGAGAACGACCAGAGTGGTTTGAGCTGATATCAGAAAGACAACAGAAAGTCAAATAACCACTTGTTACAACCGAGGTATGCAGAAGAGCATCTCTGAACGCACAACACCTGGAACCTTGAGGCGGATGGGCTACAGCAGCAGAAGACCACTGAGGCTACAATTTGCACAGGCTCACCAAAATTGGACAATAGAAGATTGGAAAAAAACATTGCCTGGTCTGATGAGTCTCGATTTCTGCTGCAACGATGATGATCGGGTCAGAATTTGGCATCAACAACATAAAGGCATGGATCCATCCTGCTTTGGATCAATGGTTCAGGCTGCTGGTGGTGATGTAATAGAGTGGGGGATATTTTCTTGGCACACTTTGTGCACATTAGTAACAATTGAGCATCATGTCAAAGTCACACCCTACCTGAGTATTGTTGCTGACCATTTCTTTATGACCACAGCACACCCAACTTCTGATGGCTACTTCCAGCAGGATAACACACGATGTCATAAAGCATGAATCATCTCAGACGGGTATCTTGATCATGACAATGAGTTCACTGTACTCAAATGGCCTCAACAGTCATCAGAACTCAATCCAATAGAGCACCTTTGGGATATGATGGAACGGGAAATTTGCATCATTGATTTGCAGCTGACAAATCTGCAGCAACTTTGTGATGCTATCATGTCAATGTGAACCAAAATCTCTGAAGAATATTTGAAGTACCTTGTTGAATCTCTGCCACAAAGGATTAAGGCAGTTTTGAAGGCAAAAGAGGGTCCACCCTGGTATTAGTAAGGTGTACCTAATAAAGTGGCCGGTGAGTGTACATATATGTGTGTGTTTATTTTTATTATATATTTAATTACAATTATACTTAAATATAAATATTAACAGAAAAAAAAATATAAAAAGAAGCTATGTGTTGTCATTTTCATTATTAATTTTATTTGTGGAGTTCTGTAATGTTACCTAATATGTTATTCTTGAATAAACGCAAAAATATTCTAAAAACTATATATTGTGAGGTGAATAAAAAAATATTCTTCTTATTTTTTTCTGCTTAATTTTACCACCCAATACAAACCTGTGCATGCATCCTCGGAAGTCAGGCCTCTTTTAAATAGCAAATGTGCCCACAAGCAGCAGTCGAAGTAAGTAGGGTGGGCTGTTAGCATCACATTCCACACAATACTTTACAACAGTTTATAGGCGAAGATTTTCAGCTTGTATACTTACTACTTAACACGCATATCCCACACATAAATGATAACGTTATGTAAGATTATAAGGGAAGAGTTAAAAAAAACAATCCTGATCCCTATGATCTGCATGGTACATTTTGTTCTGTTCTCTAGGAACTTATGTCACTCGTAAAAAATATGTTCGATAAATAATCTGAATGTTGTCTGCAATCATCAAAGACAGATTGCTTTAATAATAATAATAATAAGTATTGTGTATATGTGGGTTTCTGCTCAGCATGACAACATTTGAATTCATGTCAGTGAACATGTAACATGGTTTCTTGATTTGCCTGCTGGATCCTCATTTGCTTTGTCCCAGTGGGTTCAAGCTGCCGGTGACGCATACAGTGACTTTTAATACCACTAAGAGCATCTGTTTCATACTGTAACAGCACAGAGCTCACTCTTTTTACAGCTTAAAACGTGAACTGGTCCGTCTGTGCGCTCTCCACTCCATCCGTTCACCAGTTTACTTTGTTTTCCTCTCACATGATCCTTTGCTAACCACTGCTGCTGAAATCTGGGTCAGCACTCATTCAGTAGTGGCTATGTTTATATGCACACTTCTAGTTTCACTCAGAATTAAATCTTTTTAGTTGGTTAAAAAAAGACTTAATATGTGACTGGCTTTAGGAATTTAGGAGCAAATAGCGTGTACATGCACACACGTGCATACTTGTATGTGTGGTTTATGACTTCCCTATCTTACAAAAAAACATAACTATTTGTGTATAGCCAGAAAGGTGGATAATACATAAGATTGAATTCACTGTAAAACTCAGCCGTCAACTTTATCAAATGAAATGAGTATAGTTAACTTAAAATTACTAAAAGTTACTTCTGCTCATTTGAAAAGAGTTTTGAACTCAGTGTTAAAAGGTAATGAGTTAATTAAATCCCTCAGTACTTCAACTTAAATGGAGTAAGTTCACAGTACTCAGATTAGTTTCAAATGGTTTG